GTTAGTAGCTAAATTTGAACAATCGATATCTATTGTGTAACTAAACAAAAAAATCTGAAACTTATAAACTATATACTAGGTCGATGATAGTATATAAAGATGAAAAGAAAACTCTGGGTAATACATACAGTTTGAGATATGAATTTTTTACGAAAATTCACTGCATTTTTGACTAGTGTTTGCATATTTTCGCCCAATTTTTGAGATAAAAGCTGAAAATGGACATCATATTCAGAATCAGCATGAAAAAATCAGTCTGGCCATGTATATTTCATAGAAAAAAAATTTATCAAAAAATTACCCGTACTCCTTCCTCCTCAGGTGCTTTTTATGAAATTTTCGGCTGTGGTTCCCCTCATGTGAGTTTTTTGATAAATTTTTTTTTCTATGAAATATACATGGTCAGAGTGATTTTTTTCATGCTGATTCTGAATATGATGTCCATTTTCAACTTTTGTGTCAAAAATTGGGCGAAAATATGCAAACACTAGTAAAAAATGCAGTGAATTTTCGTAAAAAATTCATATCTCAAACTGTGTCTCATTATCCAGAGTTTTCTTTTCATCTTTATACACTTTCATCGACCTAGTATATAGTTTATAAGTTTCAGATTTTTTGGCTTAGTTACGCAATAGATATCGATTGCTCAAACTCAACTACTAGCGACACCTATGACTCAGCTATCAAGCAACATCTCAAGCTCGGAGTGGTTTTAATTTGTATCTATCCTGAAATTTTTATCGTTCCATGTCACCTCGATCGAAAACGGCAGACTTCATAATCGATAGGGGGTAGATCAGCATCTTCATCTGAAGGAGACGGACCTAAAATTAAAAATTAAATTTCTCAGTGCCAGTTAACGTTATCTGACTGCACTTAGTGGCAAAAAACTCATTAGTTGAGAGACTTTTAAAATATGTATTTAAAGGCGAAATTTGAAAAAAGTCGATTGAGCAGCCCCTATAGTAAAAGGTCGGGTCATAGGAAGTGAGACAAAATTCACGTGAACCGAAATGCAGTCCGCAGTCCATAAATTATCAATATGAAAATATACATCAAAGAAAGTTAGCGATAGGTGGCGATCTGTATGAACATCACTTGCATCAGAATGAATACGATATTCTAAATTCATTTGTTTATCACAAACTCGCACAAGAAGTTAACACAAATTCATTTGGGTAGGGATTTTTAAACCAAATGAATTAAGATATAAGTAAATTAAAGTGTAATCGTTCGTTCGACTATGTGTTCTCTCTTATAAAAGTAATGAAGTTCAATGAAAACTGATTATTTTTCATTAAATATCGATTGAACTTGGTTAAGTTATTATGACAACAGCAGTGTCACATATCCAAGATTTTGGAGATGCCACCACGTCTCTCGCGGGAGATGCCACATCTCGCGCGAGAGATGTGGGTGTGGGTGTGGGGGATGCGCATCTCTAAAGGAGATCTTACATCTCCAGTGGTGAATGACCACATCTCTCAAGTGTGGGTGTCGCGTCTCCCGCTGGAGACGCGGCATCCTCCCACGGGAGATGTGGTGGCATCTCCAAAATCTTGGATATGTGACACTACTCCATAAGAGAAAAGATACCGTTCTTAGTAGCATCAAGTTATTGCGTGTCCACCTTTCATACTTTTTCGTGACCAACAAACACGTGTCAATTATCGTCAATTTGTATGCTCATTAAGACAAGCTAATTATTTCAAAAGGATAAAATAATAAATGAACTCGGAAAAAAGAGAGATTTGAGCTCGGTGTGTTTAATTGGCTTCAAAATGAGAGAAATGAGTTCGGTTGTAATAGAATTATATTTTTTTATGTAAATAAAAGTTTTGAACTCGGAAATTAATTAATACTCTGAAAAGATATAAATGAGCTCGGTAAATTTTATTTTTGTTGTTAAAGAGAGAGAAATGAGCTCTGTAAGTAATTTATGAAAATTAATTAATGATTTTGTCAGTGGCAAAGTATATTTAAGAGAGGGTCCATGAGAATATCACCCAATATGAGCAACCTAGGCATTTGACAAATTTTAAAAGTGCGATATTTTGGCATAAAATGATCTTTCATTTTATGCCAAAATATCGCACTTTTAAAATTTGTCAAATGCCCATGTTGCCGGTCTGCTCGTGGATCCTCTCTTAATAAGAAAAAAGTAGTTCAAGAACAAAAGTTGTTAGCGCAATCCCTTGCGGGATTAAAAATGTGAAACACGATGGATCTGTTGTTATTAATTAAATGGAAATCGTTTTGTTCCATTTCTTTGCAATACATTTATAGCTAACCGTTTATCTGATGCTTTAGAACTTCAGTTTCTCTGTCACAGTCTGTGATGGGCCCAAAGCCTGTCTGTCACGGTCTGTGGGGGGTCCAAATTTCTACCCCTAAACACTTCAACACTTCTTTCAGATCGTGTTTTACAAAAAAAGTGCTAGGTTACAATAGATTTTTACTAATATTCAGTCTTTTGTTAAAGCTAATTTAACTTTCTTTGGACGACCTTCTCCCCTTCTTATCCCAAGTTGTTGTGGAATTTTACGATGACCCCACATCATTAATAAACCCAAAGAATGAATGCAAGAATATTCTTTGAGGCCATATTTACATGAATAAAATAATGGTGGAGTTAAACGAGAAAAATCAAGTAAACGCGCAGAATTTAACCAGTCGATAAATTCATCGTAAGAATTCCAAGATATACTATGGTAATGTTGTATCCATTTTTGATTCAAAAGAAGGTACAACGTAACTAGCTGCGCCTAAATGTAACACTTTTGTTCGATCAAGTTTTTGTAACCATTTATATGCCATAGCTGCTAAATCATCATTAAATTCGATTTGAATCGCAAATGGTGTACTGATACTAGCTAATGACCAGTCGTACAGCTGTTTGTAAGAGGGTGTGGATGTGAGTGTTCTTCTGATCTACCAGCACATCCGAACCAACACCCACACCCATTAATTAATTTTCATAAATTAATTTCCGAGCTCAAAACTTTCATTTATATAAAAAAAATATAATTTTATTACAACCGAGCTCATTTCTCTCATTTTAAAGCCAATTAAACACATCGAGCTCAAATATATCTTTTTTCCGAGTCCATTTCAAAAATACGTATTAGAATAGTAACTTATACAAAAATAAAAAAGATTTAATAGGATGGAAGACTGAAATCATTTTCTATATCAATACTAGTAGGGAATGACGCTTCGAACATAAAAAAAGATAGTGTTTACATTTTCATGTCAATCGATTGTAATCCGTAAGTATTTCATCTTTATTTATAAAAAAACGAATACTGTTTTTAGGGGTAAATTTTTGTTTATTTAATAGAATTTTTAACTCATTCATGATAATAAAAATCAGATATGTTAGAAAGAAAGAAAGTTTCTCTTAATATTTCTTGACGTTTTGAGTTTTGTGCTTTTGTACATTTTACTCTTATACACATATCAATGTTATACACCAATGTCTATTTTATCGAGAAATAAAAAAAGAAAAAGAAGAATGCACTTATGCAATAATCTCAGTTGGTTTTTTTTCCCACGGGTGTAGAACATCAGTTTATTTTTTATTGAGTCAATCGTAAGATACAAATAAGCAAACGATTATTTAGATAAAAAAATTTCCATCAATTGTATTTTAAGTCGACTATGGACAAATCTGTAAGTAGTTGTAAATACGAAGAAAAAAAGAATAGAGCAAAAGTGAAACACGATTGCAATACTTTGAAGTACTGCCATTGGAATATCGATAAATTACGATAGTCTTATTCATTCTATGACACGTATTCGATAACAATTACATTTAATATTTCCAACATGAGTCACTTCCCTCATTCTATATTGAAACAAGAGATGAACACAGGACAGGATGGTCCTGATGTCCTGCCACTTGCCAAGATCAAAATAGCTAACAGAACAGGACAGAAAATTTTGTCCTATGCTCATCTCTGATTAGAATTTATATTACATCGACAATATACAAATATCTCTTTAATCTGAAAAAAAATATAAAATTCGAGAGAAAATCAAAATTGAAAAACTTTCTTGTTTATGTATCATTCGATATAATAAGTATTCAAAATCATATTTCGTAAGATGTACGCCTACATTACTCTATGTGAATATCAGCAAGTATAATGCTATACAATTAATGATGAAGGATGCTTTAGGCGCTACTCTATACCACTGTTTGACTCATTATTCACAGTATTGACACTATTGATTAGCATTCTGGTTTTTTCTTTCTGTCTCGCGTTGACGGTAGAAAAAAAATTTGCACTAATGTTACTTTCTTTGAAAGGTCATCCTTTTGAAGAGTATCGTAGTTACTATTAAAGTACACTTATATTCACTACTAAATTTCTCTCATATAAATCATATGATATGCAAATAGTTCTCAATTTTCTGTTATATATGAATTCAAAACATGTAAATTTTGAATTGAAAAAAATTCATCAGTTGTGTAATACTTTTATTTTTTGTGAAATTCTTGAAAAATATATCTGCATTATTCGCAAAAAAAAATAAAAGAAATATTGAGTGTAATTTGATAATCAGTTGGAAACCTATTGAAATAGAATCAAAATAAATATGTTCTATTGATAAGAATTATTATTTTTAGTAATACTCAACCTTGAATGAATCATAATTATAAGTACTTTTATCTTGAAAGAAAAAAAACGAAGCATAGAAAGTTGGTTGTTTCCTTTCTCTACCACTATGAGAAATATGTTTTGTCAATAAAATATATACTTAAGAAAAAGTTAAAAAAACAATTTCTAAAATTAAACGTTTTTTTTTTAGTCTTATGCAGTGGCGTACGCAGGGGACCCGGGCTCCCCCTTGAGACGAAAAAGTCCTGGAGGGGGGTACAGGAAAAAATATTTTCACGTGATAAAAAATTTTTTGTGCCATGGCCGGCCCCCCCCCCCTTGAAAAATTTCTGCGTACGCCACTGGTCTTATGTAAAGTTTCTTTGTAGATTGAGAATGTTAAATAGAGACGATATAATCACCTATGGTTTGTCTAATATTATCGGAAATAATGTAAATATTCGTTTAATTGATTTTCCATTGATACATTCACGAGCATCAAATCTTATTAAAGCTCAATGCAGGTTGTATTGATCCGCTGTTCGATAAGATCTAGTTTTCTTTTTTTATCAATTTATTTAGAAATTTTCGTGATCAATTAACTAAAATGATATTGACTAATGCTACACATTGGCGAGAACGAAATCAACGTAAATAATACAATTTTTCATTTGCAAACAATCGATTATCTATTCTTGTAGAATTTACTTATATTTTGGAAATTATTTGGAGTGATATTATCGATGATGTTATTCAATTTAATGAAAATTTTTCTGAAAGTGTTAGTTTTTTGATTAATATTCTTTTTTTTTTTGAAAATGATGAAATATCATTATTTTAGAATGAACTTCCAATGATATTCATCTGTTTAGATAATAATCTCTTACGAGAACAAGAAATTCGATTAAGAAATCGATATTTTGAAAGTTTTCTATTTCGTTTATATAATACATCTGTTGAAGAACTCAATAATATGACTATCTATGATTTTTATGGTTATCAATCCAGTGAAATTATACAAAATAATTCTGTAAAATTCGAATGGAATTTTGGTACATTCATTGAACGATTGATAAATTCTCAAAATTCATCATTACCTTTCTATCCTCTACTTCTACATGTTAACAGTATTAGTAGTGGTCTAGTATTCAATTATTATTATTCTTATCTCAATTGTCAAGTTGGTTCTAGTAAATAGAAAAAGAAATCTTTTAAAATTTAATTTGATAGTTTTTGAATTTCTAGCAAATAGTCTCTTTCTTGATTTCACTTTTAATGCTATCATTCCAAAAGAAAATCTTCCACAAACAATTCTTATTGTCTTACATACATTGATCGAAAGTGTCTTTCTCAACAAGAGTCCATCCAGTATGCCGGCCAATCATCTTGTTCCAATGCAGTCAAATCCTTTTCAATTGAGTTTAGATCCGGACAGTTATAAGATTATTGATAATTCACGAACACATGTAACATTTTGCGTTCGTGGTATAAGTGATTTTGGTCATACAGTAGAAAAAGTTTATATTTGGCAAGAAAATTTAAATCTCGATACGCTCATGTCAATTCGACTTAGAGATGATGTACGAAAATGGAATATTGAATATGAATCGTGCTCATCAAATGATGATAATGACGAATTCAATGAATTACCATTGGCTACTTTTCATATTCGAATGAGTCCGACTCGAAAATGTTTCGTGTTTTCTATGATTAATGCACCAACTATATCGGATCGATGTGGAGGCAAATAATGTTTTTCGCTTGAAATTTCAATTTCATTGTATTGATTTTAGGCGTAAGTACAATGAAAAAAACCAGCAAAGATTCATATGATAAATACATAACTGATCAAACTAATCATTGGAATATTAATCAACAGCCAATTAAAGAAATTCGCAGTGCACCGGTCTATTATTTACTTGCAAAATCTTCATGTGATTGTGGACGACCCGATACTATTGGTTGTCAGGAAAGTCAAGAAATTTTCTTAGAAGGTACAATTCGAGATCCAATCGAACCCGATCGAATACATTTGGCTTATGCTCATAAGTAACATATAATCAAATTTTTTTTTGTTCGTTCATTTCATTTTTCTTTCGATACTTAGTAAAGTCCTTCAATCACCTGATATGATACATTATAATCGATGTTTACGTCGAACATATTACTATATAGATGTATTAGATGAGAATCAAGAAATCATTCGAGTAAAAAAAACAATTTCGATTGACAATAACAAATAAGATAAATTTTAATATCATCGTTTAGTATCTCTTTTGTGCAGAATATCCAGATATTATGTCAATTCTTGATCAAATTTATCGAATAGGTCAAATTAATCGAGCACAAAAACGCGATGAATATATGCGTTTTTGTAATATTCTTCAACGATTGATCGATCTTGATCCATGGCCTGAATCGATTCGATTGATTCAATTCGATGATGAACAATATCGATCTAGAGAACAATCGAATGACTATACATCAAACGCCATAGGTTGTAGTGTTTGTTTTTTTTTGTTGAAGTCAAGAAAAATAATTTTTTTTAGATGCCGATATTAAACCATTTTGGTTACAAATTAAGGAAGATATCGATGAATACTATCAGCCATCACCGACGACTGTAGCAGCTCTCGATGTAAGAGAAAACAGAGATGTCCATCGCGCCGCTGCCGCCATGGCGGTGGCGCGGCAGCGGCAGATTTTTTCCAAAACTATCGCGGCGCGGCAGCGGTGCGGGAGAGATTTTTATTTTGCCGTCGCGGCAGCGGCGCGGCGGCGGCAGCTTTTTAGGAAAAAATTTCAAAAATTCATGAATTTGCACAGAATCTGCATGTTTATGTATGCTATACTGTAAGACTTAGCGAATCTGATCGATTAGCGGCATCAGTTCTATTTCAAACCAGTCAAAGCCTTGAAAATCAAAACATTTTTTCGAATACCAGCGCGGCAGCGGCGCGGTAGCTTTTTTTAACAGGCCATCGCTTCGTGGGAGCGGCGCGGCAGCTTTGTTTGATTTTGGCCGCGGCGCGGCAGTGGCAGATTTTGAGCCGCGATGGACATCTCTGAGAGAAAAATTGTTTTTTTTTTTTAATACCAGAATTTCGCTTTTATTTTCTTACTCTTTTAGGTCAATACAAAAATAATTCCAAATGAACAGAGTAAACGTATAGCTTTGTTTTTTACTGAAAGAGCACAAGAAGATCAATCAATTAGAACTTTAATTACGTAGATTTTGCAAAATTTATTAAAAGAATTTCAAAATGTTTTTATTTTATTTTTTCTAGAGATTTAAAAGATAAATTAAGACAACAAGGTTATATTGTTGATTTGGCTAACAATCATTGGGAAATTGAACAAAGTATTTTCATTTGTACGGGTCAACAAAATGATGAAGATAATCGTCAAATGATGCGTATTGCACAACATAATATCATAAAAGTAAAATAATTGTTTTGATTTAAATCAAAACATAAACAAACATTATTTATTTCGATTTTTAGCGTGATACTATGCATGATGTTTTTATTCTTATTAATGAAGCTATTGAACATTTTCCATGTAAATTTATTCGTTCAATACCATATCTAACAGTAGATCTTCATCATCGAGCACCACAATGGAATAATAATGAAATTCATGAAGTAATCTATTATCTTAATAAAATGAATGTACTCTCGAAAGATTATACTAATTCATCTGAAAATCGAATTGAATTTAATCAAGAATATTCTGCCGTAGATATTTGTTTTTCATTCATCAACAATCATTTTAGAATTTGTTTCTGTGTTTTTTCTTAATCTAGCAATGTACAAGTGTTGGATTAGGTTGTGCTGCAGCATTTTATTTTAATTATATCAAAATGATTACTTCAACAAATGGTATGATGATTTATGAAAATGATTTGAATTGTTTTTTCTTTTTTTTTTCTTCAGATCATCAATATCGATTGAATTTTATTGAAATGGAATTGAATAAGGAATGTAATACTGATGGGTCAGAGAATACAATGATTTTCATTCGTAAATGGGTTTTTATTCTTCCATGGACAATCGAAGCTTCTACACAATTGATTTCTAATATTGTTAAATTATCAGAAGAAGAACAACGAATTATTGGATTTAAATTAATCGAATGGAAACCAATGTATGTAGTATTGAAAACTATAATGAAATTGTATTAATTTATTTTTCTTATACAAGTAATACGAATTTTTCTCATCTACCATTGACAATAACTGTCGGTGGTGTCTTTCAACGTTCATATAGTTCTTTAGTAATTTATCAATTGATACGTTTAGTCGATGGCAAAGTAAAATAGATGTTTTAAATGTTAATGAATAAGTGTTTTTGTTTTCGTTAGACTATCTATTTTCCTATGGAACTACCAGCTGCTCTTCGTGGTCTACAAAATCGATATCAATCTATTCTTTCACATTTCAATTTTGGATGTTTTGATCCAGTTGAACAAGCTCGAATCTTTCGAGAAGCAATACTTGATTATCAATCAAGAGATACTCAGGCCGATTGGCATAAACATATTATTCTAATACCATTAAATGAATCAACTAAAAATTATGTTAGAACAGCTGAAATATTACTTTCGACTATTTGGACTCAATTGACTTTGTCAATGGTACAATGACAACATACAATAAAATTTATCATTCTTTTGTACATTATCTACTCAAAAATTTACTTTCAATCAATTGATAATTTAACTATAAATGTAATTATTAAGTGAATAGATAATTGTATTCATTTAATATTATTCGAACAAATCATAAATATGAAAAATATGTATTGTTTTCTTTAATAAATTGACTAGAAAAAGTATTTGATTTCTTTTATTGATTACTTGAATGGAATGAATTTAACATCATCATCTTTGTACTTATGTAAAGTATCGATTGATATAACGATACAAAAAAACCGATAATTTCAATAATCATATTCAATTACAACACAAAAAAAAAAACAAACTAACATTGTCTATATCATGTTGAATATGTAAAAGATTATATTCTGCAAATAAAGTGATCATGAACATATATCAAATATCATTTTCATTCAATAGATTGATCGAACATTTAGATTTTCGTCGTTCATCGATCGACAAACGAAGAGAAAATTTACCTTCGTCTAATTCGTATTGAAAATAATAATTTACTAATATACTAATAAATTGATCTATATTATTTTTTTAATTAATGTAAATCAGTTTTTTTATTTAATAAGTGAATAAATTTTGGATTCTCATGAAGGAAAAATGAGTACTAGCAATCAATAATTTATACTAAAATTACGTTTACAGGCTTTTTATATTAATGTTCATTTTTTTTTAAAAATAAAAGTTATTCTGAATTCAAATAGAACTTCTTCATTATGAGGAATTTCGCTAAACTAGAAAAGAATACCCGCATTCACACCCAATAATGAATGACATAGACTCTCAGGCTCGATTATCTAAGTTATGTTCATTTTGATTCACAATATGAAGTATAGATAGACGTTAGTAATTATAATAAAGCTAACATCTTCGTATAAACAGCATGTGATTAAATTAGGAACAGAATTATTGTATGATCTCGTCTTCATATCAGAGGTGTCCATCGCGGCTGAAACTCTGCCGCTGCCGCGCCGTGGCATTAGAAAAAAAAAGTTACCGCGCCGCGATGGTTTATAAAAAAAAGTCACCGCGCCGCTGCCGCATTGGTTTTCAAAAAAGTGTTTCGATTTTCACTGCTACAACTGTATTGGACCAGAAATATTGGTACTAGTCCATCAGATTCATTCAGTCTTGGAGTGTTTCATTTGTAAACAATGAAATTCTATTAAATTCATGCAGTTTTTCAATGTCCTCGAAAAAAAATGCTGCCGCTGCCGCGATGAGTTTTTAAGAAACTTGCCGGTGCCGCGCCGCCATGGACATCTCTGCTTCATATGATATAATGTGCATGTTTTCTCTAATATAAATCAGAGATATGTCTATCGTGGCGGCAGATTCTTAGCTGATATAGACATCTCTGATGTAAATCGAATTCATAAATGAATTTCTCTTAGTATATTAGCATGTTCTTGTAAAAATCAACTGTATTTTTTATACTATTTTATTAAATAAACAAAAGAAAACGAATGGATAGCATAGTCATGAAGTATTCATTATATAGAATACTAAATACATAGTACCATGAAATAAAAGGCTATGAATGATAATGGAGAAATACAGTTCTTCTTTTTTTTTTTTTGCATTGCTTATTGATTGGTCTCTGTATTTATAGAATGACGAATAAGGCATGTATAAGACCAGGAATAAAACCAATAATAGTCAGAATTATATTAAGAAGAACTTTGTTGTTGCAGTCGTTCTCATGTAGATAAACAGCTAATGGTGGAATGAAGATGGCAATAATAATCAATAACAAATGACTAACCATTTTTGTTTTTGAATTATATATGTAATAGGGATATTAAAGTGAAAGAATTTTACAACTGAAATGAAAATGCAGAAAAGAATAAAATGTCTTTTAAGTCAGTTGCTTCTTTTTTTTTTTTCTTCTTCTTCTTTCTCTGCTTTTCAAAATCGGATTACAAGAAGTGATCATAAAATAATGTGAACACTCAAAAGAAAATGACATCAAGATTAAAGTATATGACAAAATAAAAATGCATGTTGCTATGAAATGATAAGTAGAGTAAGCAATTCACCCTACACATATGAAATATAACATTCTTTCTTTTTTTTTTATTATTCTCGATATAGTTTCAATGACACACAAATAATTGTAGTTAACAATATTGATTTATTTATTTTTGTTTTTTCTGTTCGAAAATATTCTAGTATAATAAAACTCAGCAAATTCTCAAAGAGTGATGTAAAAATGAGCCATTTTTTTCTTCTTTTCTCTCAATTTCAAAAATTCTAAAACTATTTTCATTTATGATCAAATCAATCTGATAATGAACAATAAAAGCTATATGAACATAATACATTTTGCAAGTTGAAGTGTTATTGAAAATAATTCAGTTTTGTCAAAAGAAAATGCAGTAATAATTAATGTATTTTTTTATTTTTATTTATCTATTCTATTCAATTTTATGACAAGTAGAATTTTCGACCAATATCTGTTGGAACCAGTTTCTATTTCTTTTTTAAGGCCTACAATAGTAAATAACATGTTTATTATTCATGTTATATCTTGAAGACAATGAGTAATAGAATAGTTCGCTCAGTTTAGAAATAATGAAGATTACATTTTAGTTTCAATTTAGTAATAAACTCTAAATATGTATTAATTGAAATTTCAAGTAATTAAATTAAACTGTTGATAAACTCATATGGAAAGATGACCGGAGCGAAGAGAAAGCCTAAAAGAAATTAAACCAAAAGTCTCAACGATGATATTCAAAAAAATACAGTATGAAGAGTTAGAATCCAATTTTTAGAGATTATCTAAAACTATTCTATTCATCAAATAATTCTGTAATAACAAACACAAATCATAGAGTAAATCCGAACAGAAAATATTACAAAAATCATATTGAAAAATAGTATTTGCAAATTACGTCGACTTTTTGCTTGACTATACCCTTTGAAAATCAATTCTGTACTCAAAAATAATCTCTTTATAATCTCAATGCAAGTTGAAGAACGAATCGAAAAAAAAAGAAAATTTTAAATGTAGTGCTAACTTTACTTGTGTATTTCTACAAAAAAAATTATTTCATTCGATGACATCCAATTAAGTGAAATAGTACCGAATCATATCGTCTTTAGTATTTGACTTCATTGTGAAACTTGAGTAAGAATAATATCTTCTTTCTTATATCTCAAGAGAAAGAATCATACTTTAATGATGGAACTTAATTGCTCTCTCAATTATGACTATTTTCTTACGTATTTAGATGAACAAACGATTTGACAATATAACAAATTAGCTGTATCGATAGAACACTTTAGACAAAGCAATCATCAATAATTATGTATATATGTGGGTATCGTCTAAGAGACAATTATGGATATAGGCCGAACTCTAATAACTTATCCTGTAAGGCACAACTAGAGGTGTAAGCCGAAGGGTCAAACAGTGGCGACGGTTTTAATGGTCAATTTTTTTTCCCATAGCGGCGGCTTTGACAACCAAAAAAAAAAACATTTTTGCTCCTAAAAGACGAAAAAGATGTCCGATCACATATGCATCCATATCAACGGCGGCGGCACCTCATACTATTATCAAAAATTTTCGATCGCAGCGACGGCGCAGTGGCGCCTGAAAAATTCTTAAAAGTATCTACGATTCCATGGCGGTAGCTCAGCTGTATGGCTTACGCTTCTAGACACAACCATGTCGTATTGATATATACTACTGTTGGTCATTCTTCTTTGTTTCATTATCAGATGCATTGTTATTTTTTTGTGCTAATCATTCTTTAAATTGTAATATTGACTTATAAAATAATGATATATGTCTATGATAAACTCAAGGAAAGTAGTGCCTGTGAGATAGTGACATTCGTTACATTTGGCTTCCACAACAAATTGTTTCGTTCACATACAGATCATATGTTTATATAGGAAGATGATACATTTCGTTATAATGTGTTCTTGATCAACCTCTTATTTATGCAGCAAGTTTCTTATGATCAACTTGGTAGTAAGCACAATATTATCTATGAATATTACGATCATACTTAACGCTAGTCAAATATATTGAGTATATATAATAAAGAATAAATACGAATCATAGCTATCAGAGATGGACAAAATCGCACCGCGCCTCACCGCGCTTCCCCACGCCACTGCTCGCGCCTAGGCGCTACGCACATCTCTCTTTCTCTTTGCTCTACCAATCAGTTTCTCAAACTCCACCGAATACCAGGATGCTCTAAGCATGCGCTCATCGAAGCTCATACTAGTGTAGCGTAGGCGTGAGCAACGGCGCGGGGAAGCGCGGGGAGGCGCGGTGCGATTTTGTCCATCTCTGGTAGCTATCTATTCATTCATTATATCCAATCAGAGATCAACACTCTAAGATACTTATAAGTCGACACAGTATGTCAGTTCCTATTTGGTTACAAATCTGATTTGCGATAGAATGTTAAGATTTTCTTATTGAAAGTATTGTAAGTACTCGAACATCCAATATCGATCTGTTAAATACTTCTTGTAACACTCAATCAGAAATCTACCTGTAACTTATCAAAAGAAGTTTGTACATTTCTCTGATTACGTATATTCAAAGATGTTGTATTAAATTTACCACATGACGAACAAGCAAAAAAAAGAAATGATCGAAACATTAAGATTATATTATCGAAAATAATCAAAAACAATTGACAAAATATTGAACAATTCGATCGTGAATATCATCAAGCTACTTGAACAAGAATTTCAACAACAACGAGAAGATAATAATTCGATATTTCAATTATATCGTGGTGTTCAATTATCTAGTAGAGAAATGCAAAATTTAGAAGCTAATGTTGGTAAACTTGTATCAACTACAAGTCTTTTGAAAAATGCAGCATTTATATTTGCTAATTCATTAAATAACGAACAGAGATGGACAAAATCGCACCGCGCCTCCCCGCGCTTCCCCGCGCCGTTGCTCACGCCTACGCTACACTAGTCTGAGCTTCGATGAG